AAGGAGAAGGAGAAGGAGAAGGAGAAGGAGAAGGAGAAGGAGAAGGAGAAGGAGAAGGAGAAGGAATAATAATTCAATATTGGACGAAGTAAAGCTGAAGCTAAAGCTTAGGTATTTGGGACTTAATGAAAGGGCAAAAACATTTGAGAAGATCCTGATGGTTGGAAAAAAATCAGACAATGAAAAAAGAGGCCAAGAGAAGGTGGCTAGGTACTATCATTGATAATACAAGCATGAGCTTACAAGAACCCAGAAAATCTGACAGAAAGTCCTGGCAAAATTATGTACATTATATCAAGAGTCAGCAGTGACTGAGCAACTGAAAAACAACACTGCATGTACATGTTCAGAAGCATGCTCACTTCAAAATGTAAAGGGAGCAGATGAAGGACAAACAGGAATAGTTGAATTAGCCCTAAGTATCTTTAAAAACATAAGTCTATTTATTAATCAAGATGTGCAAATAAACTGTGACTACTTTGCAGGCATCTTTCTTATGGATGAAACATCCCAAAAGGCAAAACTAAAACTTTTTTTTAATACACCTATTTCATATGCCAATGCCTCTCCCTTAGATGTCCTAAAAGATATTCTTGGCTAATACTGGCTGGCAGCCTCTGAAGGGAAGAGTGACATGAAGAGTTATTCATCTGCCAGCCCCCACAATTAATTATTAGTGCCAGAAGAGCTTGGAGACTTATGTTCAAAACAAAATAAACCACAGAAAATTCATTCCTAACACTTTTATATGGCCAGGTTAGGGTTTTGTTGTTGTTTTTTTTGGTCACCAAGACAATGGTAGTTTCCTTTTTTGCTTTTAAATGGAGACTGATATCAGTAGGTGTTTTGGAATTAACATAACCAGATTGCTTAGGGCAGAGAGGAATCTGCCCATTGTGGGTCTTAAAAGGGTAGCTTGATACTTGTCTTGAAGTTGGTTAGGACAGCCAGGAAAACACTCTGATAAATATGGGACCCTGTCTCATAACTAGGTTGAACAAGTTTTGAAGTCAAGTGATAACAATTTTGTTGGTGAGGACTGAATGTGCTATGCTGTGTGCCAATCTTGCTGAGGTTTAGGCAGATAGTAGAGAATTTTAATCCTCTGTCTGTTTAAAAAGTCCTCTGGAAATTGATAGTTCAGGTG